GAAGAAGAAGAAGAAGCAGAAGAAGAAGAAGCAGAAGCAGAAGAAGAAGAAGAAGCAGAAGAAGAAGGAGAAGAAGAAGAAGAAGCAGAAGAAGAAGAAGCAGAAGAAGAAGAAGAAGCAGAAGACGAAGAAGCAGAAGCAGAAGAAGAAGAAGAAGCAGAAGAAGAAGGAGAAGAAGAAGAAGAAGCAGAAGAAGAAGAAGCAGAAGAAGAAGAAGAAGAAGACGGAGAAGAAGAAGAAGCAGAAGCAGAAGAAGAAGCAGAAGAAGAAGAAGAAGAAGAAGCAGAAGAAGAAGAAGCAGAAGACGAAGAAGAAGAAGAAGCAGGAGAAGAAGAAGAAGAAGCAGAAGACGAAGAAGAAGCAGAAGAAGAAGAAGCAGAAGCAGAAGAAGAAGCAGAAGAAGAAGGAGAAGAAGAAGAAGAAGCAGAAGAAGAAGAAGCAGAAGAAGAAGAAGCAGAAGACGGAGAAGCAGAAGAAGAAGAAGCAGAAGAAGAAGAAGCAGAAGAAGAAGAAGCAGAAGCAGAAGAAGAAGGAGAAGAAGAAGAAGAAGAAGAAGAAGAAGAAGAAGAGTGTGTTACGTTTCTTTGAGCATTAGGACTGGTGTTTGGTGACGAGCAGACAGAGCAGGGAGGATTACTTACAATGCTCTCACAGCTGAGAGGACACACGCCTTCGATGGTTGAACACTGAGAGAAAGAGACGAGGTGTGAGGGTCAAAGGTCGTCATATCATCACAAACAACATCAACAAGCTGAATCTCTGACATCAGAGCTGCAGAAGCTGCTTCACAGCCCAGCTGAATGCACACGAGGAAGATGAGGGAAAAGACCAGGAAATTATAACTGCATCAAACAAAGTAAGATGATTTCTGTCTCTGTGAGGGACAGGGTAACGTTTAGAAGTCGTATCAAGAGAATGATCTTCTCAACCAAATGTTAAAGTTATTACAAATTCAACGCAGCAGTCATTACTTTTAAGAGTTTGCAAATAAAAAGAAAAAAATGTACAACAATGAAAATAGTGCTGAATAAACTTTGACTCTAAACATGAAGTAAAATAAGAGTTACACTGAATAAAACACATGAATCAATAATCAGTGTTTACTCACGTCTGTGTCGCTGGGCTGGAAGCAACAGTGTGATGAGTCGAGGAAGATGTGAAGGGAAAAAAACACAGTAAGGATAATTGTATGAAAATCATTAAACTGCAGTTTAATAGAAATAATTAAACACTGGAACATTTTAAATGACATAAAACATCACTTGGCCGAACTTCTTCAAACTGGGGGCGTGGTGACTGGCGTCTACTGTAGCTAATACACTGACTATTAAAAGCTATCCATACAACCCCACATCCAAAAACCTGAACTATCCCTTTAAATGACCGCTGGTGACTTTGCTCTCCTTGGGCAGTGAAACAAATACAACAGATGATAAATACACTCGGGTCAAAAAACACAGAGACCAGACAGAACAGTTAATGTCAGACGGAAGAGATTTATTTTAAAATGACTTTAGTTGTTTTTAAACGACAGAAACGTTATATAAAGCTCAGGAAGTGTAAATCAGTGGCGACAGGATTCGAATGTGTTCTGTAGGTGATCAGATGAGCTAATGTCAGCAGTGAAGCGGCCCTGTGAATACATTAAACGGCCTGTCACAGCTGTCAGCTCTAATTAATAATGTGATCTGCACCATCAACCTCTGCAGGACATCTGCACACATTCAGCTGCAGCTCTGCTTCACTGAGCTGCAGGAGACGCTCACAAGGTCGAAGACCTGCAGAGTGTGTGTGTGTGTGTGTGTGTGTGTGTGTGTGGATGTTTGTCTGTCTCGTGTCGAATGTGTGAACAAATTCTGTCTCATGATTAAAAACTCTGGAACTGAACAAGTGTCCCAGAGAGGCTGTAATCTGTTAGCTCTTTACTGCGAGCAGGGTGAAAATAAAAACAGGCAAAGTCCGTCCTGAGGAGGGCGCTAGAGGAAAGATCCATTAGGTACCTAAATGTTAAGTGTTTATCTTCTGTACGCTGGTAACTTTTGGTCATCTCAGACTCTGAGGGCTCAGTCACACCAGCATTCATTACAAAATCTGTCATGATTTTATAGACTCAATGGAATCGTCATGATCACTGGGACTGCCTTTCAAAGGTGAGGTTAAATTTGCTCTGAGCTTTTCCATAAAGTTAAATTTTAATGAACTCTGACATGTAAATTTGAGCCGCTGACCTGCAGCAGACTGTCTTGACAGTACTGACCTCTGAAGAGTCCAAAATAGAGCCGGGTTAACGAAGTACAGAGCTGCACTTTGAGCTGAGAGCTAAATTTAGCAGTGTGTAGGATTTGGGGGGATATATTGGCACAAATAGAATACAATAAGTATGTTTTCTTTAGTGTATCATCACCAGAGAATATAAGAATCCTTTTGTTTTCGTTATCTTAGAATGAGCTGTTTATATCTACGCAGGGAGCAGGTCCTTATCCAGGGAGATCGCCATGTTTCTACAGTTGTCCAGAGCAGACAAACCAAACACTGACTCTACATCAGGACATTTAGGTTTTCATGTCGGCCCCTGTAGTTGGCAGCCGCTCCGCAGCGAGAGCGTTGACAAAACATCCATCCATTCATCTGCTTATCTGGGGCCGGGTCACAGGGGCCGGGTCACAGGGGCCGGGTCACAGGGGCAGCAGGCTGAGCAAGTACTTCAGATATCCATCTTCCCAGTGACCCTTTCCAGTTCCCAGGCCAGATGAGATCTATAATGCTTCCAGGGTGTTCTGGGTCTGTCTCGAGGCCTCGTACCAGTTGGACGTGCCTGGAAACCTCTAAAGGGAGGTAACACCCTGATCAGATGCCTGAACCACCTCCACTGACCCCTTTCATTGCGAAGGAGCAGCGGCTCTACTCCTGTCCAGCCACGCTACGGAGGAACTCGTTTCAGCCACTGGTGTCCGCGATCTTATTCTTTCGGTCACTACCCAAAGCTCATGACCACAGATTAGAAAAACAGTTAGTGTTCATACTGATGTGAAACACCTGCTCCGTTTGCTTTAGAGACACAAAGAGCTGTGTGGATAATTCAGCTCCCAGTAAAAACCTCCTGAATAAACCAGGAGAAGTTTCAGCTGTTTGCAAACCTCTTCGCTAGATTCCAGTAAATCCTACACACTGCTTCTTTAACTGTAAAGATCAGAAAAGAGGCCACTTAAACAATAAAAATGTTGCTGAATGAGGAGCATGAGAAACACTCATCTCTACTTTGGTCTCTAAAGGGTCAAATCAGCTGTTTTACATCCCATTCTCTTCACACTCCACTTTAATCTTAATATGAAAAGTCAAAGAGACTTAATGTGCACAATTAATGGGTTCTGCTCCCTAATGAAGGAAAAGGAAAATTAGAAAAATGACCTCTGAATCCAGAGGATTATTATTGGATGGTCACACAGTAATAATAATTTCTTTGTCCTTGGAAAACTTAGTGTTGCTTAAAATTTGATGACACACTTAGTATCTGCGAGCTCAGTCGCCAACTGGTAGACTTCTGCCTGACTGCATCTCTATGCTCCCAATTTAACTCACAACTTAACAACCTAACTCCATTTTTCTTTTCAACAGTCAAACTGCTGCGACCATAACGTTCGCCTCTTGTTAATATTAGAATCCCAGTGGACACCTGTTGTGTAGAGCTCAGTGTATTCTGGGGTCAAAGCTGATTTTAGTTGAACTCTGGTCACTAAACTACATATACTGGTGTGACGGAGCATCTGGATGCAACAGGGTCGACTGGGGACAGAGTTTATGACCCCAGTCTACAATTATGCACCGTCAATTTACCTCTATCAAGAGTGTTTATTTTTGCCACTGACAGGCTCAGATTGTTTTTAGAACTGTCTGACAACATTACTGAAAGGATCCTACAGACAAATGAAACGTTTCTTATCTTTCACTGGTCTGTTTGTTTGTTACTGTGATCAAAAACAACAGTGGGAAACATTAGTGAAAGTTGGAAAGGGAGTGCTGGGGAGATTCTGTTGTGCTGGAGTACAGAAAGTGATTTTAAACGTCACGGCTGAATATTTAGCTGATTTTGACAATGTGGAAAAGTCTGCGAGATTTTAGAACGAGACTTCCCCTTGAGCGAGACTTGGACACAAATCAGCAAAAGGTACGGAAAATGTTCCCTTCCTCTGTAGGGTCTTTTCTGTAAGTTAGCAGACACGTAGAATAAAACTTTGCGCCTGTCTGTGGCAAAACCAAACACTTTTATTGGACATAAACGGATGTTGAACAACTGCCTGTCGGGGTTACATTTGTAGTTTCACTACTGTGGCTGCAGCGCTCGCTCTCAATACTGGACCAGTTTCATTAATAGTCTTTCCCATTAGTCACTTAGACCCTTTTTTCATTGTCATTTTGGCCATTGTTTTACTTTAGGATGTAGATGCTTTCATTAACAGTAAGTTAATAATTGTAATGTTAAAGATGGCGGTGTGCCTCGCACCATTTACTAGTCAGCCCTTGTCTGTGTTTTTTGGCCAGTTGAGTATGTTGAATCAGAGTTGGCGCAGCCTGTTGGCCGTTCAGCTCGGCGCACAATAAGAAAAAGGAAAGTGAGGAAACAAACAGCTAAAGTCGAGAGGGAGTGAGACCAAAACAAACTTGCTACATAAAGAAAGAAAATTTTTTTAAGTCACTGAGCTCTTCAGCAGAAATGTTTCCTGATGGTTTGTGTTATTGTTCACTGGCGCACAGCAAATACACTCTGTTCTTTAAACACTGGACTGTGTTGTTAATGTGCTAACTGGCTAACTAGCATCATGATGGTCGTCTGGTTTTTCCTATTTGAATGACAAATTCAGACTACTGCCATCTGCTGGTGTGAAGAGTTATTTCCGCTCATGCAGGTGCAGAACAATTTTTGCGGTACAACTTTTCAGCTGAGGCACAGGCGACGCGAGGTCGTGGTGTGTCTGGGCATTTAAAATCCACCATCGATCGACCTGTAGTGTCCATACAGCTTTTCTAACACAATACTTTAAGGGGGCTGCAGAGCGCACCCAGAAACACAGCAGTGAAAGACGGTGAAAAAGACAGCTAGAAAATAAATAAAATGTGCGTAAAGAATGCAGGTTTCAAAATGTTTTATGGAGGAGAGAAGAACATTTAACGTGTTTGTTAGATCAGAAGAAAACACACGATGAGTTTTGGTGAGAAACGCTGAAACTTTGTGTGACTGAGGTCAGACTGAGGTCAGTGTTGGAGGGATAAGTGTCTGTTATCAGTTAAGGTTCAGGTTGGTGTCAGTGTCCTCTTTAGTGACATCAGCCATCATGTGTGAGAGTGCGTCCTCTGATCACCTGCTTGGCAATGGCCCAGAACCTCTTTTCCAGCCAATCCAAGGACATCTGCACCCCGATAGCTAAAAATAGAAAACACACACACACATATACGCATTAAAGACAGACGAGGACAAGATGGACTCTGCAGAGCTGAACAGTTTGCTGTTTGTGGAGGAAAGACGGAGGACAGGAAATCAATTCGACCCTGGGTTCACCTCTGTCATGTCCTGACGCTAATGAAGGGATGTAAACACTGATGAGCCTGATGGTGTGTGTGCTCCCTGCAGACGCCGTAATGACGCCCTCAGTCCCTCAGTAATGTACTGAAGCTGCTTTATTACTCTGAGTATCACAGTGAGGTACACAGCGAGTATTTAGGAGCAAGCTGACGATCTGAGTGACGTCAGATGTGTGTGAGAGGTGTTTATTCAAGTACATACTAATGTTGAGGTATTTTACTTCACCTCTGCAGCCTACTCAGTGGTTAGATTAAAGAGGTTTAAATTGTGATTTGTCACTTCGTGTTATGTTCATCTGATTTTCCAACAGTAATAACTTGTAAAAAGTTTGGTCAGGTTTTGGTTCTGCTGGTCCCATCTGGTCCCAACCGGTTTGATTTGATGCAAACTGGCTGAACCAGCATTTGTCATTATGACACGTTCTGGAATACAACCGGCATTTTTTGAAAACCTGTTGGCCATATAAACCACAGACAGCACAAAACAGAAACAAGAGCTCGTGACGAAAAAGAGGACACACACACAGACCAATGGGCCGACAGTAAAGTCCAGACTCTACTGAGCAAATATGTGACGGTGTAAATACTAATCATTTTGATCATTTTGACTCATCACAGTGAAAGTGACGGAGCAGTGACGTACAATACGTCTGTTCCTGTTCCTCTTGGCAGTGCAAATGCAAACACAAAAAAAACAAACATCAGAGCTCCACACTGGGCAGCTCCTCTCAGGAGGAGCACCAGTCACCATGCAGTTATTATTTACATCCATGTCTGAACAAACATGGATGCTTCACAGAACATCTATACAATCAGCACAGTTTCAAGATTAGTGTCACCAATTCAATATCTCAACATCATGATGTCACAGTGAAGTCAGCCTTTGACCTTTTTGATATTAAATGTCATCATTTCATCACTTCATCCTTGTGCCCAAGAGGACGTCTGTGCCAAATTTTAAGTAATTCCCTCAAAGTGTTCTTGAGAAATTACACTGATGAAAATGAGACAGCTGCAAGGCCTTGGTGACCTTGAGCTTTGACCACCAAAATGTAGGGTAAGGTGAGGTAAAACTTTAATGTCCCCCAGGGGGGCAATTTGGGATACACAGTAAACTACTAAACACACAGAATCAGTCTCACACACTGTCAGGGGTAAATCATGGACAATTAGTGGTCACTGCTGGTTAAGAAAAGCGACAGCAGACGGGACAACAGACGATCTGTAACGCTTACTGCTACATTTAGAAAAGGCAAAACCTCCGCCCTGATGGAAACATCTGACACTCAACATGGAGGGGATGTTAACCGTCTGAGACAATCAATGAAATACGTTCATCTTAATTCCAAGTGGACGTTCGTGTAAAATTTGAAAAAATTCCCTTGAGCTGTTCTTGAGCTATTGTGTTCACTAGGGCGAGACAGATGAGGTCACAGTGACTTTGTCCTTTGAACACTAAAATCTAATCAGTTCATCACTGAGTCAAAGTGGACACTTGTGCAAAGTTTAAAAAACATTCCCTCAAAGCGTTCTTGAGATGCTGCGTTTACGTATGTGAGTACGTAAATATGTTGTACAACCTGAAAACATCACGCCTCCGGCCTCAGCTATCGACAGCACCAAGGCATGAAAACTCATTTAAAGGTTCCTTTTCAAAATATTTCCTAGATTACGTGTTCATGTCAAAATGAATCATGGCCAAAATTTTGTTATTGAATGTAAAACTGTTGTTAAGGAGCGCTTCTGTTGGTACCATCCACAACAATGTTAAACTCTGAAATAAGCTCAAACCTAAAAAGAACATCCAGTCCTGGTCAAACTGCATTTTTGCTGTTGCTACCACCAGATTCAGTTCATTAACTTATAAAAAAATCACTAGCAGAGCAATTAAAAAACACCACGTTCCTGCTGAGATACAAAGATCCGGTCTGAGCCGGTGGCCTCGACCGCAGCAGCTCGTCACTCTGTGACCGCGGCGTTAAAGGACCAGCGGGGGTCGTTTCCACTCTGACCAACATAAAATCTCCAACTGCTTTTTGTCACTTCAATAATGAAAACTGTTCCTCACACGGTTCACACACACACACACACACACACACACATACACGTGATATCAGGCGACATGTCGAGCCTCTTGTGTACTGGTGTTATTGGAAAGCGGAGCAGCTGTAAAACCTTTGATTTCTGGTTATTGAACGTTTCAGCGGCTGCAGATTTTTGGGCGACGCTGCAGTGCAGGAAGAAGTAACTGCCGTCTGTTTAGAGTACAGAGGAATTTAGTGTAGGATATTAAATTAGTTACCTCCTTTTGATTTTAAGAGACGTCTCATTCTTTTTAATTCAAGCTCAAAGTCTGACATTTATATTTGCTTAACTGGGAAATAAAACTTTTTATTTATTCCTCCAAGATGTCGTCACAACTTGTCACCTGAACAACCACGACTCTTGAACAGAATAACTCTCATTAATGTTGGATGATTACAGAGAATCAACAGTTCCAGTTGGCTGTGCAGAGGCGATTAACTTCCTCTTTGTAACTGAACACCTCGTCACTGATCATTTCTTGTTAGTACCTTTCACCTATTAACTTTTCCTTTCAACTACTTGTGACACATACGAACATTCAACACATGTTTAAGGGGCTGCACACCATGCCGCGTTTTTTGTGCCCTCAAATTCAGTTTTCAATGTAGATGCGTGGCAGGTGCATTCAAGCGCCAGAGCGACGCCATTGCAGTGTGCACGTGTTCCCAACGCCTCAGGGATCTGTTGTGTTTTAGCTCAGTGAAACAGATTCTTTCTTGTTTGGATTTATTTGAGATTTTTCAACTGCGAGCGTAAATCTCATTGTCCCTCAATCTGCTAGTCTATCCACTGGTAATGTGTCAGAGCTTCAGAAATATGTCGGAGTATATTTCTGAAGCGTTAAGTATTTATTAAGTATTTAACTTACCTTATGTACGAGACAAGATTTGAGTACATTACGTAAGTTCAATAACCTAACGTTGACTTTTGGTCTCACACAGGACATGAACAGCCACCACAGACTTGAAATACGTAAATACGTAAAATGGCCCCCATTCATTCCCATGAAAGTTGCTCAGTGGCGCATAAAGCCAAAAAAGCTCTATTTCTGTGATATAAAATTACCCAGATCTTCCGCATTGTGGGGCCAACAGGGCAAATGCACAAGTGACTTGTGCGGCTCTTCTTGACTTTCAAAATGTTGTTGGACCAACTGGATCAAATCCTGATAGTGAAACAAGTCATTTCATGGCAGTTTTGATGCAAAAACAACAACAACAACAACAAAAAAAAACAGGTATCTATTTATCCATTGATGTACAGACGACTCTTTCACAATGTCTACAGGAAAAAGTCTTTTGTGGCCCCATGGCATCATGGGACGGACCCAGACGATGTAATTCCACTTTTGACCACTATATAAATTTAGCTTTAAAGCCTGATGCAGTTCGTTGAGGCTTGCTGCGGCCACTAGAGGGCGCCGCCTACAATAAATGTAAATATGAGTCATAATAAGCTGCTTGTAGAAACAACCTATAGGGACATGTTTTAGAGGACGGTCTGCTGCATTCATAACTATGAAGATATTTTAGTTTGAATTCATCACTTAACACAGACTGATAAAAGGAGAACATTCATTTCTTTGTTACTGCATGTAAACAAGTTCAACCCTCGCTGTTAGGCGCTGCCCTTGATGCAGAAGTCAGTGAGAAATCCCTGTTGGTGCGACAGAGAGCTTAACGAGTCATTTAAAAGTCAAGTTTTGACGTCTACAGGCTCAGTGTGCAGCAGGATGTTTGTAGCAGAGGGAAGAAATGTGACGCTGCATCTGTGTTGTGACCTTTGGGTCCTCTAAACCTCTTAAGGCATCACTCTCCTTCATTCTTTTTAAAATAGCCTCTCTGCAGACTCAGTGGTCTGCGGCTTTGCTCCGCTGTTTGATTTCATTTCTCTGTTTTTTTTCTCCTTTCCTGTCAACAGCGTCCTTATCGCCACCCTTCAGCGCTGCAGCTGCACTGTTTCTGCTGCAGTCTGCAGGACGAGTCCGCGATGGGACAACAACACACCCCACACATTTATTCTACTTCTCAACCTCACGTCAGTAAGCAAACTTATAAATACGTCACGGCGTGCATGAGGAGTTCATGATGACAGAATCTGCATTGTTATTGTTGCATGTGTGCTTTTATTTTACTAGTCGAGCCAACTCCTGTGTGATGTAACTGGGCGCTGAGTGCAGGAATAAAGTCTGTTTAAATGCTCCCCTGAGAACATTAAAGTTTTATGATCCAATTTTCTACCAGCACTGTTTACACTTTTCTTCATATTTCATGTGTTTACTCAGGTTTTCTCTGCACGTTCCATCACAGCTCTGGTGTTGAATCATGTTTTTATTTCCACCTAACTTCCTGTGATTTTTGACACTCCTCATCATCTCTGCTGTTAACTGTATTTGTTGTTTATGGATTCTGCTACATGTTTGTTGCAAACAGCTAATCAATACATTTTCATCTGATCCAGTTTCATGTCATCTGAAACAAGAGTGTGACACTGCAGACATCACAGCGGGAAGTAACAACGCTGCAGCATCCAAAAAAGTATTAACCTAAAAATAAATGAATTCAATAAAATGTCAACAATCCCCAGCATGAACGTTAGCATGAAACGTTCCTGCAAACTATGGATATGTTACATTTGTATGTTGTTGTGTAGCAGATACGTTGAAACTTTATGTTTTATGCTGTGGTTACTGTGTGGTTCAGTTTAGGCACAAAGAACACTTGTTTATGGTTAGGAAAAGATCATGTTTTGGCATTA